ATGTATGTATGTATGTATGTGCATGACCGTGGTTATGTGTGTCGACAGAAAGTACATGTGTATCTTGTCGGGAAACGGAAAATTTCAACAGAAGCTTGCATCAGATACATAGGTGACAGAAGCTTTTAACGAGTCTGCATTCGGCTTTCGCTGGGAAGCAGCCATTATTAAAGAAGCTGGGAGCTGGACCAAAGCGAGCGGTGCATGCGACCCCAAGTCTGCCAGGAGCGGATCATCCACCGGCCCATCCAGCGCCTCATCGATGTACCGGTGCCGCAGATCATTGAAGAGGTCGGGTTGAGGTTTGGGGCCTGGGGGGCCCTTCGTGCGGATTGTAGACTAACCAACTGGGAGTTTGTCTTCGCGGAAAGTGCCACCTCGAAGAACTGTCGAGCCTAACACAAGACGTTGCATCCGTCGACCCACGATTTGGTTTGTGATGCCAGTCGTCCTTGCAAAAAATCACATGTTGCTGGTTAGAGTGTCGTGCAGGCATGGAGATGAGCAATCCGTATTAAGACACAGGTAGACAGGCTTTGTGTCGTTTGAACAGGAAGTCCAGGTGCCGCTCATTGTGGAGCAGGACAGATCCTCTTGCGTTTTGGATAGCAACATCTGGATTCACGGTTCAGCTTTGGTGTTTTGGTGTTGCTGGCCTCTAATCCAGGATGTTTAGCGCACAGGGCATCGTCGGAAGGCTTCGTTGGCAGCGCTTAAGGCTGCGAGAGTTGCTGTTGGGAGCTTGGAGCATGGCGAAGCTAGGCCAGCCATAACGTGCTTCGATGTTTGCAGCTCTAGACCCAAGCCAGCAGCCAGCAAGTGGGAGGAAGAGGTGGTGCCCATACTCGTGGAGCAGGTCATCCCCGCAACCCGGCTATGGACGGAGGTTAAGGGCCAACCGGCTCGGGTTCACGTACATCCAACCCAGGCGACAACTCGGTGTCGGACAGTCTAGTCCATGTGCAAGTTTGGGCTTCATCTGGGCCCTGGCGATGAAATGCTTCAGCTTAGGGCAACAAAGAAAGGACCTAAGTCTCTTGGTAGACAACAGAAACTTCGCTTCCAAAGAGTCAGCCGCAAGCAAGATACTGCCTGCTGCGACCTTGAAGCTGTTTATGATCACTTTGCAAGTATATGGGATAATGACAAACTAGAATATGCCTGCCCATCCAAGCTAGCCGGAGGGATGCTCGGGAGACATGGTATGCACTGCAGGAACCAGGTCCTTGTCGCAAGTGCTGTTAGCAATATGACTTTGACCATGTTGGTGTTGATTGAATTAAGTTATTTCCACAGTTCAGCCCAGCCCCAGGTGGTTGAGCCAGCCTTGCACCTTACGCATCCAGCTGTACTCCAGGGTTGTGTGTGTGTGTGTGTGTTTGCGAGCGACATGTGGATGAAGCCATAAAGCCTAAATAAACACTGACAGCCTGCATACCCGATACCTGAAAAAAGCCTAGGTGAATCGGCCACACATTGTCGAGACAATCGTCGAGGTGCCGAAGGTCGGCGATCCGAACTCGAAGGGATGAGTGGGCTTGGTCAAAAGTCGGGTGTGGGTTGATTTCTGCATCGATATCGAGGCTGTGTAAGACTATTGGCAGTGTCGACCGCTCGGTTGCAGAGCACACGTCGCATCTGTGTTCGTCGTCGCACTGCTGTTGTGCTGCCTTGTTGGCCTTAAATAGCTTGTCGGTGAGGGGGACTGCATGCACGGACATCGAAAAAGACTCCCGACATCCAAAACCACTTCGCGACATCGACAACACACTCCATTTCATCGAACCTTCCCGGTCGAGAGCATCAGTTCCGGATGTGCTGCTCGTGACAGACAGATGTTCGGTGTCAGTCTGCAACACTATTCCCGGCAGTCCTTGCTGGCCTACACATACTGAACAATGCAGCTCAAGGTTCGAATTTCTGTCTGAGACACAATGCTCAGCCGGTGCGGTGTGCGCAACACAGACGGATGGGAAGCATTCGAGCGTAAGGCAGCACTCTTGGAACAATCGACCATGCAATCGATGGGCAGGTCCAAATCGAGGAGAAGATCATCCATGCAATTCGGCTGTGAATCAAATTAGGCGTGCAAATTCCGTCAGCACACTTTCCGGCTTTGCACTCCTGAGACCTCAAATACGGCACGAACGTATAGCCCTAATAGATGTGAGGCTGTGATCTCGAGCAGACTTTAGTCGCATCCCCAAAGCGAGCAGCTATTCCGACGAGACTCTTCTTTGGTAAGATTCGTTGCGCGACTATACATGCTCCTCCCGAGTGGTAGTAGAGACATTTAGTAGTAACCTCTGAGTTTGCAAAGCCTTCATATGTCACAGTGCAAAGCCCCCAGTCGACTCCAGAGCACCCCTCCAAGTGTTCTCAAGCTGTCATCGTCGCAATTTGCAAGCACTCTGAGGTGCCCATGATCCAGCGGAATTGGGTTGACCGGGTCCGGCAGCACCATGTTCAGGCACTGAGAGCGTTGCGGCATGTCGGAAGCCAGCCTAAGCATATCCATCGATGCAAGTACCGCAGACGGTCCGTGCTCCATGACTCGCGGGTCGCGGAAGAAGCTCCTCAGGTGGTGGAGACCGAGCGGCCCAAGACCATCCAAAAGCTGGTGAAGCGGAGGCGGAAGACGTTTGCGTCTGTGTCGGGTCCATTCCGCGGTCATAGAGCTGCCAGATGTTGAGTTCTGGGCATGTATGCATCAATCCAGTCCCTGCAACCGGTGACCAAACCTCTGAACCCTACCTGAACCTCTCAAGCCCTGAAACACTGCATCCGTCTGCATCCCTGAACCGAGAGCTGCACCGCGTCAGGAAGCCAATCCTCCAGGAGAAAATCATCCAGGCGTTTTTTCGGTCAGCAGATCAGGGAGTTCGGGATTCACATCAGGTTCCGGGCTTAGGATGCAGGGTGTGGAGTCTAGACTGCAGGGCCTGTGCATCCTGCGAGTTGTAGTTTATGAAATAGTTGTTTTTCCAGTGGGGTTTGGCCTCGTAGGTTCCGAGTGTGTAAAGATCCGAACCGAAGCCCACTTGAATCTCAACCGTATTCGCAAGAACCGGATTGCTGATTAGGCACACCCATGAGCCCACGTTACGGCACAAGCACGGTTCTCTGCTCTTCCACACACCGCACTGTGGTGGGACCACAACAGTCTTGGCTGCTGATAAGCCAACCTCGTTCAGATTGTGTTTTGGTTCAGTGTTGAGGGGAATTCATGTGCCAGGTGCCAAAGATTGTCCAGGAGGCTGTGCCGCAACCTCGGAGTGGTGAATCTGTTTGTGTGTATGTGTATTGGTCGCATGGACAACTGAAGCTTTCGACACCCGACGATTTTCATAGAAGTTCTTATCCCTGCAGCAAGATTTTCGAAAGCCTCCGAAATCTCCCTCATGTTCCCTGCTGCCCGGGGGATGAGGCCTGTAAAGAAGGTGATGCAGACCCAGGTGGAGGCACCTGAGTTGGCTGGGGTGTGTGGGAGCCACCTTCGAGGTATCGTTTGTGGGGCGATAGACTTTCGCGATTAGTTTTAATGGGGAGGGCACAAGTTCCCCCCATGACAAAAGCTAGCACCTACCCCATGGTAGCAGCAATGACAGGTTTCGCTGCTGAACTTTCGACCCCTGAATTCCAAAAGAGACCACGCCTGGCGAAAGGGCCTGGCTGATCCCTAGAAATAGAAGGGATTCAGAGTCGGCGGCGAAGGCAAGGCTCCGGAGAGTTGTCGCAGCCCTGCACCGAATCCGGAGGCCCCAGAAGCGAGAACTCGGCCCTGCCGGGCTGATGTAGGGTGACCCCTGAAGGTGCCAATCGTCGAGTTTGAAGACCGTGTGGCCAGAGCCCATTTCATGGGGCTGGCGCTTCTTTCGGTTTGCGTTTGGGGTGCCGTTGCTATTTCTGGTTCAGGGTGCGGCCTGCAGGGTTTACAGGTTCTTTGATAATAAGCCGGCAACTGCAATGATTTGCGGCTGGAATCTGGGGCTTATAATTAAAGGTTTGTTCATGGCTACAGCAAAGACAAGTTGTGAAAGTTCGCAAGTTTGATTTCAATAGTCTGGGCTACGTGAAGCCTCTTTATCTATGCCATGCTCCGTCGTCTGCAGCCTCTCGCACAGCAGTGGTCAATAGCCACCGACACCACAGCCTCCCCCGAGAACACCACATGACTCTAAGCTCAACGTCGTCCCTCTGGAACGTACCCAGTCAGTGCCTTCAGAAGTAACGGCTTTGCAACATAGGCACAGGATCCTTACGTCCAAACTTTCACCGCCTCGATCTCAGCCCCACAAGCTCACGGCATCAATTTCTGTATGATGGAGCGTCAGAGAATCGATGTCCTCGCGCGGCAGATCCAAGCAGGCTTCACGGAGGAGCGAGCGAGGGCAATCTGCAACTAGCATGATCGATGCTTAAGAGGATATGGATGAGGCATACTTCCTCACGCAAGGCGTCGCCATGTCGCGTCTCAGAGCTCATTCTTCACGTCATCGAGCCAGGAGTCTGCAGTGCGGCAGTCCCTGGAGGGGCGCAGGTTCCTGACGCCGAAGATTGTCGCTCTCCTCGCCTCTCGCCTCAGTTGGAGTCCGGCAGGGCTTGGAGTTCGGTGGCTTGTCACGCTAAATGCTGACGTCTTTATGAGACTGGCTGTTATTTGCTTGCTGATCGGCACATCTGTATGGTCAGTTCAAGCCTAACCATTTCGAATTCAACCCAATCACCCTGAGTGCCGACTTCCTCAGGCTAGTGACTTGAGAGCTCCGCCCCAGACCCACGACCAGCGTGTCGAGACTTTGAGGTCGCCTGTGCCGGCGAGGAGAATGTGTTTACCGCAGGTGCAGAGTTGGAAAAGCATTCGCAGGACGGTCTTTTTAGCCTCAGTGTCTCTCATCGGTGCGCTCGGTTTCAAGCAACCTGCAAGATACGAGGCTTCGGATGATACTTGTAGCTCCGGATGTACATGGAGCATTGGGTCTTGGGAATGGCAAGTAACAAGTAGCGGGGCCCTGTGGAACAGGGGTCTGGCAAGGACCACTCTCATCATCTTCCGTGCCCACCGGAGATGGTCGGGGGCCTACTGGAGCTGGATTCTGACCGTTCTAGGCATGGTTGCGTTGTGTTTCAAGCTTGGGCTCCTGCACGCGGTGAACCCGAACCCCAAGACTTCACTTCGGCATTCGGCCTTGGCGGCTGTATTCTCGGCTTCGGTCACTTCAATTGCTGTGGAGGGCTGGTCTGCTTCAGTCGTGTAGGATTGCAGGCTGGCGTCTTACCTATCTGGTGGAGGTTTCGGGCGGAATCACCGGGGGTTCAAGGGTTTTGTCCGAAGTGACCCCAAGCATATTATGGATTTTCCCACGGCTGCCTCTTTGAGGCCCCGGAGGATTCCAACTTCGATTTCATGACTTCGACTCACCACGAATCAACTCACGGGCAGAAGGTATCTTCGAGTCGCTGCCTTTCTATCGCAGTTCCAAGCCTAGAAGACGTCAGACCCGTCGAACTCCGCGTCTCGTGCTCCAAGCCCGCACCTTGAGATTTGATCATGACTCTTACTAGCAGCTGGGGTCAAGCCCCACCCCGGCAAAGTGAGGTGATTTATGCCAGGTCAACGGAGATGATCAGCGGTATCATGCGCATCTGCACCTGGGCTTCCTCTCATATTTTGAATTTGGCCTGAGAGCCCTGATTCGTGGATCCTGAGCGCTCGAACCTCCAATCCGCTTGAGAGTGTGGGGTGATGATCGGGAAGCATCGCAGCTGCAAAGACAAGAACGGTGGTAATTCAGACGATTTTATGCACACGCGTATATTAGTATACCTATGTATATATAATATATATATATATATATATATATATATTTATTTATTTAAACAAGTATATGTAGACACAAAGTAGATATGCACACCATGGCAATTGGTGTGTCATTTGTTGGCGAGGAAGACAGTGATGGTATTGGGCTTCGTAGAGCCATCAGCAATTTTGTTGCTTGGTGTAGCATGCGATTTTATGGACAGAACACAACATTGCCTCCATCATCGTCGGTAGTGACAGCCTTAGTCGTGGCAGTTGTAGCAGTCGCCGTGCCATATCCGCAGTTTCGGATGCAGTAGCTTCGTAAACAGCATGCACCAGAAACTTTGGATGCTCGCGAGATATCGCGTGGGGAAGGCAACAGCCACCGAGTCCCGGTAACGCCCTGTGGGGCGAGGACAGGTCTCGAGGCTGGGCTCGGGATCGGGGTCGAGGTCCGAAGCACAAGGCTCTCTGGGACAGGCATGTTTCGATTCCCGGGCGGTTCCGGAGTTCCATAGTCCTCCATCGCATCTATCACCACTCGCACCTCCACCATTGCCGGGCTGCTTGTGCATGTAGATTCAGGTTTCAAGACAGCAAATGATGTGGGTCTCTTAAGGTTTGGGGTTGTCGCTGCGGGTTTCTTTTGCGGCGTGGCTCTGGCACTGGCAACCCTGACGCCTCCAAGCCTTGAAGCCACGAAGTCGCAGCAGCAGGGTGGCAGCATCCCTGTGGGCGGAGGGGTCTCTTTGGACCTGCTCCTTGGCTTTCCTGCGTTTGGGATTACTTGGTCTCGGGTTTACTACTTGGGGCTTGAAGTGCTTCGGGCTGGGGATGTTAGACGATACCATAGGTCGTTCGAACTTGCAGTAAAGGTCTCGTGTCAGGAGTTCTAAACTGTTTGGCCTGGGGCTTGTACTGGAGACTAGGTTTTGGTTCCCCTGTGGTTCAGCCCGACAGCTCTGCTTTGCAAGGGCTCTTGGCAGAACAGCCATCTGCAAACTGACAGAGCCTCTACTCTAGACATCTCTAGACTCTAGGCTCGAGCGTTTGCCGCTTCCCATGTTTCAGCAGGACCGCCATCGAATTTGCATGGACCGGGTTTCAACAGCACCTGCAGCAGTGTCGGGGTTCACAGCTAGCGATTAGAGGACAAGAAGAGGGCGTCGAAACCAAGAGATTCATGTCGTGGGTACCATGGGAAGTCTTGCCGAAAAGCCTGAGGCCATGATAGATGAGCCCAGCAGGTGTTAGGTAAGACTAGTGTACTGCTGTTCGAGGCCAGGCGGAGCAAGCACAGAGTAAGAACAGTCATGTTCTGCAGTGGAACCTTGCACAAACAAAGAGCAACCTTGCATTTGGAATGCCTATGCCACATTCCTACGGACCAGACTTTGTTCATAGACCCTGTTTGCAGGTCCTTGCGCAACTGCCTAAGCTGTCAGACCTGTGTCGAAGGTCCAAGATGAATCAAGTCCTGAAGCTGTACCAGGTGCAGTTGTTCAAGCTTCTTCAGCGACTTTCCAATAAAAACTACGAAGCTCAAGCATCCCCAACTTTTGCGTACCCATGTGATGAATACTTTGCAGGTCGGAGGGGTGTCAGCACAGGAGCATGGACGTTTCGAGTTGGAATTGGGTTTGAGGGTTTGGAGAATTCTCAGGCAAAGGTGGGCGAAGCCGGATATGACCGCATCGGATGCTATGCAGCTCCATAAGCCAGCTTGACTCCATGTTTCGGGGACCTAGCTACTAAGCCCTCGTACGAAGCCGTCGTCCAGCGTATGCAGGCGGAACCTTTGAACTAAATCGTTCTTAAGCCTCAAGCACTGCTAGATTACTGCGGGGCTCTGCTTGATTGTCGCAGAAACCATCCCATCAAATTACATCGGCCCTTGCAGCAGGGTGTCGCAATTACGTGAGTTGAAGCAACCACCATATCAGATAGGAGGGTCGCCAGACGCATGTAAGCGCCATGCCAGGACGAGCTTCAAGTTCATGTGCAGGCGGGGATCAAGAAGGAGGCGGGCCGAAAGAAAGATCCGTGCGTCCTAAGCCCTCAGCTCTTGCCCTATAGGTCCCCTCAGCCTGAAACCTTGAATGCCACGCTCGCAATGCCTTAATTTTCCCGAAACAGCCTACCTGCTGGGGAAGAGGCGCTGAACGACTACCTGGAAAGCGAAGGTCTCTTCTTCCAGGCACCGTTCACGATGTTGGGAGGAGTTTGGTTAGGGAAATTGGCTTCAGCAGCGTATCTGGTCAATGAGATTTCTTTGAAGCCTTTGCCAAATTTGTTGCTTTTCGTCTGACCCCGCCCCGTGTCACTAAGGCCCTGTCATTTCTCGCAGGCTCTTTTGGTAACTCTAGCACGGACCTTGCGGTGATTTGCCGTGTGGTCTATGTTCGTTGCGGATCATCCCAGGTGGATCCGGCCTCGAACCCCTCCCTGGGAGGCATGGCCGCCACGGGTGCCTTGCCTTGTCGGAGTTGGGGCCCTGCTTGGTTCGTGGGCTCCAGGTTTGGGCGCCCTAACGGAAAACCCCGATCTTGAGGATCTTCCGGCACACTGTGCTGCAAGTACGGCACCATGAAAGAGACGCTTGGACTCGGAGGGTTTTAAGGGGGCTGAGAAGAGAAGCCGCAGGAATGCTGTCGGTTGTAAAGAGTTGTGGGTCATCTGGCTACCAAAGACCTTCGCTCTTTTAGGAAGCCGTGCCGCAGCACCTAGGACCGATTCCGATATCCGAATAGAAAAACTTGAACCATCGGGATCCCACTCGTCCTCCCATTCTTCTCCCCTCCAAGCTTCGGCTGGGGTCACCCTTCCGGCTTCTCGAGCTTCGGAATGTCTAGATTCGGTTAAGCTTCATTGGCTTCGTTTAGGATTGATCCCTGCAGCCGCAAGAGTTCCCACAAGCCTGAACTGGTCTGCGCATGATCTCAGGAACGTGATCTCGCTGACAGTCGTTTTGGCCGATGGCACGGTGGTCACGACGAGGCGGCGGACCCGCAAGAACTCCACTGGCTACGACCTGACGCA